AGGGGCTGGACCAGTCCTCGGCAGCTGTTTATTTCAAGGCATCTCTCGCTCCCTCTCCCTCAGCCAAGGCTCAGCCTCAGCAAACCTTCCTCCTCCTCCTCCTCCTCCTCCTCCTCCTGTTCTCCTTCCTTCGTCCTGGCCATGAGAGGCACGGGCAGCAGCAGCTGTGCTCCCCCAGCCCCCTGCTCCGCCGCCCCGGCTGCGCCCCACTCGTCTCCTCGCAAGGTAAGTTCATCCTCTCGGCCCGGGCTTGGGGGACAGAGTAGGGACAGGGCTGCAGGGGTGGGGGGGAAAGGGGGCTCCATGCCTATCTCCAAGTCATCTCTCCCCGTCTCCTTCCCTGTGTCCTTTCTCTCCTTTTTTCTTTTCCCTTTCCCCATCTAGGTGCTCTGTCTCCTTCTAGCCGGCTGTCTCCTTCCTCCCCCCTTCTTTTCCTCCTCTTTCAGTCTGGGGCAGGGGATGCCCGAGGGGATGGGAGGGAGGGGGCACAGCCGAGGCATCGCTGCCTCTTGCCCTCCAGTTTCGGGCTCCATCACAGACCTGTTGTGCTGGAGCACTGGAGCCTGTGCTGAGGAAGGCGACTTCAGCCAAATTGGCGCAGCTGGAGGAAGGAAACAGAGGGGTCAGTCCCTCGTGCTGCCTGGCCAAGGGTGCACCATGCAAGAGAGAGCAATTCAGACGTGGAGACTCAGCACTTGAAACACTCAGATGCCCGGGAACAGTAGGAAACTGGGAGGCAGAAGATTGGCAGACTCATAACATGTATTGCAGGCAGGCACTAGATGGCAGGGGACCGGCATCCTAGAGTGCTGCTTGGAATGGGGCCACATTCACAGTTCCCAAATGCAGGGAGACTTAAGCTCAGAGGACCACTGATGGGCTTCACATGCCCATTCCCTAGCTACCAAAATGTCCAAATGCATCATCACCCTTCCAGCCCTGCATTCTGCCCCAGCTTTAGGACTTCCATACCCAGCCCCTAAGTGCTCAGGCTGGTACCCTGGCACAGGAATTCCCACTGGCAAGTCACCAAATGCTGCAGGACCTGCACTGATTCAGGACAAGCAGTGTCAGCCCCTCCATGGTCCTACTGGATCCTCCTGGGTACTGTCACCAACCCTCTCAGCCTCAGACACCAGGTAGAGCAGCCTGACGTGAGGCACTGCATTCCGACTGCCTGCCCCAAGATGCAGCCTGCTCTGTGAGCTGTTGTCCCCAGCCCCATGCATAGTGGGAACTCTTTCCCCAGATGGGCTTGGCATCTCCCATCCCAGGGTACCAGCATTTGGATTCACACTCCCAGCTGCCAAAACTCCTCCGAGTGCAGCAGAATTACCTCCCTGGGGCAGCTGCCCTGAGATTCCTCCCTTTCCCTGTCCCCACCCAGCTGAATACAGCAGGATGTATATATAACCCTTTTTCACCAACACTGGGCTTCCTGCTTTCTGTTCCAAACCAGTAACAACTGCATCTCTGGCTCTTGGACCATGAACTCTGGGATGTTCATGACCACTGAGAAAAATACAGATGTGGGATGCCCAGGGCACCGTGCAGTGCATGTCAGAGGCTTGCTGCCAGTGCATGGACTTGCTCTGCTCAGTGCTTGGAGATAGCTGCCAGGTTCTGTGGTCCCAGATCACAATCTCATATTGGTAGCTGTCACCGTAGCCCTTAATGCTGGCTCGGAGTTTAAAAAATTACAGCCAACCCAGCGTTCCTTCTCTGTGAGGTGGGCTGGGTCCTCCTAAGGTTTGTTTTGATTTTTTTATCACTATTTTGAGTGGGATTGTTGCCGTGGGGGAGCTGGGTGAAGCAAGGATTTGCATGAAGCTCTCGGTGCTGCGGGGTTGCTAATGGCGAGTGTTATTTCAGCCAGCAGCAAGTTTCATAATCTTGGCCCAGCTCCTGTGAATGTTCTGTTTCTCAGGGTCATGAGCCTCTTTAACCTTCTTCCATCCCTTCTCCCTCTCCCCAAACTGGTTGGAAATTTCATTGTTCCAGTGGAATATATCCGTCATGTGAGGTCATCGCTGCATAAGGAGAGGTGATTGATTGCTTAGGTCACTGGGGCCTGTCCCATGCTGGGCTTTGAATGCTGGTTTGGAGACCTTGAACTAGACTCTATGCTCAAAGGCGAGGTGATGTGGGGTGCAGAGGGGTATGGTGATGCTTTCCCAGCAGCTTGAGTCGCTGAACAAACAGACTGCTGCATTTTGAACTAGCTGGAACACTCTGAGAGCAGACAGCTTCATTCCTAGAGGCACAGTATCACAGCAGTCAAGCTTGAGATGTTACAAAAATACAGATAGATCATCATCTGCCAGCTGAGCCAGACAGAATCGGGTGCAACTCTTTTCCCAACCCCAGATGGAAGGCGACTCTACCCGCTTCTCGCTAACACGGCTTGTGTGCGCTCGGCTTCATCCAACTGCTCTCCAGTCAGAGTTGATCTCGGCTAAGCATCAAGAAAGCTGTGCGATTCTAGAATTTAAGGCCAGAGGGACCATTTTGATCATCGAGACTGACCTACAGCAGAGCACAGGCCAGAGAATTTCACCAATTTAATTTCCTGCACCAAGCCCATAACTTCTGATTGAACTGTAGCATCTCTTTTAGGAATACAGCCAGGCAAAGGCTCCAGGCAGTAAGGAACACACCACTTGCCCAGGTAAATTTTGCTGGTGTGTGACCCTCTTTATTAATAGTATTGTTCCTCACTTGAATTTGTCAAACTTCAGCATTTTGTAACAGAAGGTTACAGATTGCGTTTGATGCGAGGGAGCTACAGCATGGTTATTGCCTGCACACGTCTGGCACCTTGGCTCTATTATTCCTGTGACTTTTTTATTTGGACAGGATTTATCTATGGGATGATGGTATACAAGAGTCCTGAACATGGAGAAGGAGTTATCATCATCAGATCCTAGGGCTTTCCTGGGGCATGGTAGCATCTGAACTCCAGAGCTCAGGGTGTCACATTCAGGGTTTAGTTTGAGCTCCCTGCTCGGAACAGGAGTGCAGCAGGCTTTGCTCCTAGCCATTAGGTAGGATGTAAATTCCCAGCCCTCCTTGGTGAACTGGTATATATGCTTTAGGGCATGGCTACCGAGATCTGCTCTCTCATGTCCCAGAAGTGGTGGATCCATGCTGCAGGAGACTTACAGAGAGGGAGGAAGCACAGATGGGTCCCTGATGCTGGGGAACAGCAGTGGATTCATGTTTCCATTCTGCAAATGCAATGAGAGCAGCTCCTAACAGATTAGCCCCAGTCTGTACTGATGGTGGGGTCCATATGCAGTAGCAAAGAACAATGTAATTCTTACTCGCTGCTTTCAAGCACCAAGATTCACAAACTGAGCTCAATGAAGTGCCCTGGGGAAATAGCTTTGTCATTCACACTCTGTCATCTGTGCATCACAGGACCGGAACGCTGTGGTGAAGGCTCTGTACCTAGAGTGAAAGTGTACAGGTTCCTGTTCAGACTCTGGGAGTAGCCCTGTCTGGTTTTATTGCAATTAGAGCTGGGAAACACATATGAAAGCAAGAGTTATGTCATGAGGTACTGGTGCAGAAATCCAATCTCTCTGCTCTGGTGCACAAAGTCTTCTTGCACGGTGTTAAGGTGGGATTTATGCATCCAGGTAGTAAGAGCATTGGTGTCCTCTCTTCCTCTCTGAAGATCTAACAGTTTATTCAGGATCCACACTGGGAGCTGCACACAGAGCCAAACAAGGGGCATGTGTTACGCTTGCCCTCCAACGCAGCAGGGTCTGTGCCCAGGACACAGTCCCAAATGCCAGTGGCTGACCGCAGAGTGCCCCAGACATGCTTTGTCTGCTAGTTTTTCAATAAACCACAGAGACATCCATGCTCTGTTTTGAACATAAACTCTCCATGCACAGCGGCGTCCAGCCTGCACTGGCTGGCATTTCCACCCACAGCTTTCATGCTATGTGCTGCTCCCAGCTCCTCCACAACCAGGCCTGGGTCTGCCAGTGCAGGACACATTCACTCTGTCTTCGGCCACGACCTGATTAGCAAACCAGAATGTGTCAGCTGAGACTGACTGACATTGCCTCATTCCCGCGCTCATTTGGAGTCATCTTTGGGATGGGGGCACTGAGAGTCACCGGCTCTTCACAGGCAGCAGAACCTGTGCACAGCAGTGTCTCAGGTCTGAGGTTTACGCCGCGTGTCCGGGCTGTCACCTCCCCAGCATCGTGTGTACATGAGGTGGTCAGTGCTGGGGCTCACTCCTTCCCCTCATTACAGCTCATTACAGCCATTACCTGCTACGTAGGGCTGAAATTTAGACTACTGGGTGTGAAAGCCATCCAGGATTTGGCTCTGTAGGGTTTCTTATTCCCAGGCTTTAGATCCTGGAAATCCATAGTCTGTGGTGCTGTTGCTGGAACTCACAATCTCAGCTGAGACGTACAACGAGGTCTCCATTATAAGACCTCCCAACAAGCAAGGACAGCGCAGTGAGCCAGCACACCTACACCCAGTTCATGTTTCTCAGGGTAGAGCCACTGCTGTTAGGAGGAGTGATAGAGGTTACACTTGCACCTCTACCGTACCACATACACCCTGAAGGACTGGCACTGAGGTCTACCAGTACCTGGAGAAGACCTCCCCTTCTGGGATGGCTGCATCCACATCTGCTGCCTGATGCAAAACAGCCCACAGCCCCTGAAGATTTGAGCTGTGACTGAGAATGCCGTGCAACAAAGAGAGCAGGCTCTTCACCCTAGGAATCTACTGTCTCATGGTGAGTGCCAGGCATGGCCCCAGGCACTCCAGGCCACCTTGAAACCACGTGTGCAGCTTGTGTGCCCTCTAGCCTGGAGACTCACACAAGGAGGTCCTCGATGCTTGGAATTCCCCTCCTTTTCAAAGTCCAAAATAAATCCTGTCACGGATTTGTGTTGCCAGACATGATCTTCCACGGCATCATGATCATAATCCAGATGGCCAAGATCTCCCCAGTCTCTGCCTTTGTAAGAATCTTACTCCATTCTGCTGCCTCTCTGCAGAGCTGCATTTTAACACTGAGTCCCCTCCAAGGCTTAGAGGTTCAGGAGCAAAGTACAAAGAAATGCTGAGAATAGCTGCTCTTTTCTCCTCATCTTCATCTCAGGATCCCTCCAGAGACTGATCTTGCCCCGGAGGGAGGGGCAGGGCACATTAGCCAACAATTCTTTTTTTTTCTGTGAACTTTGTTTAAATATTTAACAGAAGGAAACTAAAAATATCCTCGGTTAATGCAGCAGGAGCTAGACAGCTACTTACTCTTGGGTGCCCTTCCTTCCCAGCCCCTCTCCTCAGGTGTACATCACAGCAAGCAGCAGGCTCTTCCCTCAGCAAGAGGAAGCCTCCCATGCAGGAGGGGCTGAAGTTTTAGTTCAGGACTTGGGCTGAGCAGGAGCGGATGGCAGTAACCCCCTGGGAGCCGGGAGGTGCAGCACAGCTTGCTCAGGGCTGGAGGTGCAGGGTTGGCCTCTGCATTCACTCCCTCAGCCAAGCATCCCTGTTTCTTCACCCTGGCAGCCACAGGAGGGCATGACCGTGGGTTGTCGGCATTCATGCTTTCCTCTTCACAGTGAAGGAGTGAGCTGAACATCTTGCATGATTTTTTTTTTTTTCTCCCGTATGTGCGTGCGGTTGCGGAGAGGATCTGGGGTCAGGCACATAACAGCTCACCGGGGAAGGGCCGGCACCGCGCTGTGCACAGCCAAGGGAAGGGGCAGACAGCATGAAGGGCAGCCGTGCTACCACCGGACTGATGCTGGAGGGTGGTGCGTGTCCGGTGCAGAAATCCAGCTGAGGGGACCTCCCCTTACTCCGTATTATTGCTGCTCAGCAATGGGAGGCAAGAGAGAAAGGGGAGGAATAAGAGAGAAAGGGAGGGATGGGACAGTGCAGAGGACATTAGGATGAGGAGTGTGGGAAGGTAATTTTATGTTAGCTAAGAGGAAAGTAAATACTAAATATTTGATAGGCATAGTTTTTCTCTCAAATTCTTTAGTAAGGCTGGACTTTTCTGGCTGATTCGCTCTCTTTCTCAGTCTTCTTGGTTTATCACTCTCGTGCTTCCCCTCTCGCTCCCTTGCTCTGGCACACAATGAAGAGGCTCTTTTTTAATAAATGGATTACACGCTCTACACTATAAATAAACACAGGAATTAAGATTCCAACTTGTTTTAGTGATAAGCAAACAAAGATCCCGAATCCCCCTCTCAGCCCTCATACACTAGAGTCCCTGGGGAAGCTGCGCATGTGCTTCAGCACGTGTGCTCCAGACATCATTCCTGGCTTTTGTGAGCATATGCTAACACGTGTGTTTCTGTGCAGTGTTGAGATCAGGGGCACGATACACCTCTGTGCAGGAGAGCATGAGGGCACGAGAGCAGGACAGCGTGCACATGTGGGTGCATGGACTCCCCTTATCCTGCCTGCCAGAGCCGGGAGCTTGCCTGGGGTGGCACACACTGCCTGCAGGGAGACAGCCATCACCGCTGTGCGAGGGGACACTGACACCTCTCCTTTTTGGTTCCCAGTGAAGAAGATGAGACAAGATCCTCACTGAGCAAAGACGCTGTTGCATCTAAGATGGAGCCCAGTGCTTGGTAGGTTCACAGCTTCCCACATCGGCAGGTGAGGAGGGAAGACAACAGGAGTGTGGGTGGTGGGCTGCTTCCAGCTGCCTGGCCTTTCAACAGGAGGGACATTTCAGATAAGGCTGTCTTCTTCCTCCCCCCACCCTGCAGCAGGATGCCTCCACTCCTCTCCTGCATCCACTCCCTGCAGCTGTGGCATCTCCTCCTCGTCATCTCGGCCATCCCTCCTCCTGGCATCTGGTCTCTTCGCTCTCGCGTCCCAATGGCCTCTCGGCCTCTTTGCACCCGTCGGAGCCCCTCAGCCCCACGGCCCATTTGCATCTGGGAAAGGACCTCGCTGCCGGAGCGGGATTCTCGCTCGGCCCAGCTGCGCCAGCGTGCCCTGCCTGCCCGGGGAGCAGAGCTGCGGCACGTCGTGCGGCTGAGGCGTCAGGCGGCGGGGGCCCGTCCTGCCACTCCCTCCGGATTTGAGGACGGCATGCCCTCTTCCCAGTACCCCTGGGCCATCGTGTGGGGTCCCACGGTGTCAGATGAGGATGGAGGGGACACAAACTCAGCCAACCCAGGCTTCCCACCGCTGGGATACACCTTTGTCTCTCCGCACGGGATGGCAACGGCACAGCCCAACTCCCATTCACTCCTGCATAATGCGGGGCTCAACCTGCGGGAGACCCCGGCCACCCTGCGGCCCTTCCTGTTTGGGCCCCGGGGGGAAGGTAAATTTGCCCTTTGCTTCTTTCACCTCCTGTCCCTGCAGGAGCAGCTCCTTCTGCAAAACTTAGATGTAACCTCCCTGCTGCTCTCTGGGGACCGGTGGGAGTGGCCATCACACTCCCCTCTCTCCCTTTGCCTCGCAGGTGTGGACCCCCAGCTGTACGTCACCATCACCATCTCCATCATCATTGTCCTGGTTGCCACTGGGATCATATTCAAGTTCTGGTGAGTAGGGTTTGGGCCGCTGGAGGCTCTCACCATGCTGGTGTCTGCAGGTGGGTGGGCAGGAGGACTGTGGGCTTGGGACCCATTTGTCCCACGGGTGCAGATCTGGTGCTGCAAGCCCTTGGAAGGTTTGGCACATGGCCAAGTTGGGCTCTAACACTGAGCGTAGTGGGGTCCTTCCCACAGATCTGTCTGTCATTTAGGGCAGAGGCTTGTCTTTTTCCCTCACCCCTTGCTCTCTCCAAAGCTGGGACCGTAATCAGAAACGCCGGCGTCACTCGGGGCAGCAAAGCAGTGGGAGGCAGCAGGAGAGCCAGCAGCCTCTCACGGACCTCTCCCCCACCACCGTCAGCATCCTGGGGCCCTACGGTGACTCCCTGGCCCCCACGCCTGAGGCAGAGGAGTCCAGGCAGGGCCAGGAGGGTGTGGAGAAACTGGGTGGCCATGGGAAGAATGCAGCCTTCCAGCTCAACCGGTGAGTGGCCAGTGAGCCAGGCAGGAGGGGGTAGCAGAGGACAGCGGGACAGGTAGAATGAGGCACGGTAAAGGTGCCATTGGTTAGTGGGGGTTGTGGGTTGGGGCAGTGTAAGCGTTAATTAATTTCCAATTCTCTCTTTCCCCCAGAATCCCACTGGTGAACCTGTGACGCTCCTGGGAGAGGCTGAGCTCGCTCCCCCCACCCTCCTGTCACAGCTGGCGAGTGCAGATTCCTGCTGCCTCTGCTACCCCAGGAAACAACAATCTCCTTGTGCCACGGCCCACCACCACCATTATTAACTAACCCCACTGGGATGTGCCTGGGCAAATGGACGAGCTGGGCCTCCTTAGCCTCCTGCTGGGGGAAGGTTGGGAACCCCCCCACCCACGCAGGACAGGGGGATGGGAGAGCAGGATGCTGGGAGGGAAGACAGCTGGTGGTGGTCCCAGCCCCTCTCCTCGCATATGTGCGCAGACACACTTGGATCTCCATGACTCTCTCACCAGTGCATGCCTGACATTGGGTGTAGGCAAGGTGGAAAGGCATACCCCTGTCCCCGTGGGCCCTAACCCCTCCGTGTGTCTCCTCCCATGTCGTGTGCTTTGCAGTGAATGTCTGGAGTTCAGTGGCTGCAGAATTGCCCGCTGGGGCTTGGTCTCCCCTGAGCCAAGGTGACTCAAGTGGCAGCAGGTTCTTCTGTTCCTAAGGCCTTGGCCTTCCTGAGATCCCAATGGTGGGTGAAGCTTGGGCAGAAGAGGCTCACACAACACCTGGGCCCCCTCAACAATCCATTTTCTTGAAGGAAACGTTACCTCCCCCTTAGATGGAAAATATTCACATCTTTCCAGTTTCTTTCTGCCTAACACTCCTCTGTTTTTTTTCTCTTCCGCTTTTATCTTTCTTCATCTCTCCGTTCACAGTTTTCTTTCCCTCAGTTCCCACCACCCTGCCACTTCTCTTGCCAGTTAAAGCTGGAAAATATTCCTTTAGCTTTCCAAATATTTTGATCTGTTGAAAGCCTCCTTGCTGTCCCCCTCCACCCCCTTAGTCTCCTTCAACAAGATTTTTCTGAAGAACACCGGTCTATGGTGATGTCCTTCAGAAAATCCAAGGCAAAGCCCTCTGCTCACAATGTTATTTAGCAAGCATCCTGGACACGGCAGCCAAAGCATGGCATGCAGACAAAGCTGGGAATGAGGAACTTGAGTTTTGCGGGGCTGAGGTAGGGAGCTGCTTTCAGACCCTCATGGCACAGGCAACAAGCAGCAGACACTCTCTGTGCCGGGTATGACAAAGAGCAGTTTCGAGTTGACTTTGGGAACACTGGAAGGGTTGCCATGTACTGCTGGTAGATCTCTCCTGGAGTGACTGGAAACCCAGGAGGCAATATTCACCAAAGGCATGAAAGAGGGGATATCTGGGGTCCTAAGCTTCCTCAGTGTGTTGCCCCAGCTAGCTGGGAACTGAAAGCAATGGCACAGGTGTCTGTCCAAACTGGTTACCTGTGCATGTCCTTCAGGGCTGTGGTGGTCCGTGGGACAGGCAGCCACACTGTCACTGTGAGCAAGATCCGTGCATCTCCACCTCTTTCTATGTGTGGACCCAGGGTGCCACTTTGAGGAAGAGTGAGATGGCAAATTTCAGCTTAATGACAATAGTTGCTCTCCCTTGGCTTTTGTGGACACCTTCAAATTAATTAAAACACCACACTGATAGCCACTGAGCTGAAATGATGTTAAGGTTTGCCCCTATAGTGTTCAAACACCTTCAGCTGTGGGACTGATGTGTCCAGAGACAGGAAACACACACAATTTGAAGACCCTATTGCACCATACAGAATTTCTAACAAAAGTCATGTTGGAGAGAAGGAAATGGCCCTTTCAAACTTTATCTCTGTAGTAAAAGCCTATCCTTTGTAAGAAAAAGCACAGGGAATTTCATAAGAGGCCTGGTTCTGCCCATTTACCCAGATGAACTATTAGGTGATCTCGAGTCCCATCTGACTCACTGTGAAGGACATTTAAATAAGAGTGTAAATTACAATAAGCTTTGCAAAAAACAATAGCGAATTGGAGAAAATGACAGGTCAAATAAAATTACTGGCTTATTAAAAGCACTGAATGGCTGAAAGGTGTAGGTGGAAAAGGACTCTGGAGATCTCTAGTCTAAGCACAGGTTGAGTCTGTGCTTATAGCAGGGGATATTAGTGCTTTACCATAGATCGATCTGTTACTGAGCCTGTTCTTATTCAGGCTCCATTCAAGGCTTTGGTGGGCATTCAAGCTGCAGATGGACAGAGAAGAGCCAGGTGGCTGTTCCTGCTCGCTGCCCCATTTGCTGCTGCCCCTGCAAGCTGAGGGCAGCTCGGGGCTGTTCCCCCTCTCACTGGCACATCCATGCTAGAAGGGGAAGGACATCTGCACACAGTCTGCAGGAGGCCACACTCCTGATTGCTGGCAGTTTACAATATAATGCTTTGAACTGGTTTAAGTAATCTTCCAGACCAGATTAATTAGATTGTTCTTTGATCAACAGTGTTTGTTGAAACAAGGCCAGAGTTTAGACTCTTCACTTCAAGGGCTGTCCTTGGACTTTGTTTTTCCACATGCTGCATGGAGAAAAGGTTTGTAAGAAAGTGGGAGGGGACCACAAGAGGCATAGTGAAAACATTTTCCAACGCTTGATGCGTGGAAGCCCTGCACTCTCCTGGCCAGGCTTTTGTAAATTCTGCAAACAAATCAGATTTCAGTGGTTTGGGGTTTTTTCCTCCCCCTTTTACATGTCTCTGGTTTTGGTAAAAGTATTTCCAGGGAGTGACACCTTTCATGGATACTGTGGTAAGGGGGAAGCTGGTGAATGCAGTAGAGAAAACTCTTACAACAACAGAAGCTTGGATATGTCGAACATCTTTTCTAAGACCAATTTTCCTAGCCAAATATCTTTTTATGACAGTCATTCACTCTCTCACACAAAACAGGTTAGGTACGGGGAAACAACTTCACGGTCCTGCCCAAACATTCATTGCTGTTTTGTCCCTGGAACAAAACATTCAAAACACATGTAAACACACAAGCTTCTTCCAGTCAATAAATAGTCTCACTGAATCTGTTTTCTCCATGACTGGAGCCTTATAAACCCTCTTCCCCTACAGAGACTGGAGCCGGAGCATGCCTGTAGTCTCTTCCCTGCCCCAGGCTAGTATTTTGTAAGATGTGCACATGGATGTGTTGACAGCACTGAATGCCAAGCCAGGGCAAAGGCCAGTACCTTCTGAGGCACAGCCTATCAGTTTTCCCTGGCTTCCAGGTGAACAGAGGAGAAAGTTCTGGATTATTGTTTTTTTCCAGTGAAAACTTCACAGAGAGAAAAGCATGTGGGGAAAACAGCTGAAAATGCTCATAGCTTTTGGCTGATCCTGCCCAACATTTCTCTGTCGTTAAAAGGCAACATCCAGGTGGGCTGAGTGAGTTGAAGGAACTATGTCTCTGCTGAGCTCCTGGAGAGCCCTGGCTTTGTTAACGCAAGGGTGGTCTCTCTGTGAGTGCAATGGGAGGGAGGAAAGGTCTGGGGAGAATCTCTCCCCTCTGCCCTATACTGTTTTGGAGCAGGAACTGAAGTCTCCCTCTCTGTACCCAAGAGAGTGGTATGACCACAAGGCCAAATCCTGCTTGGGCTTCCCCATCTGGTTGGTTGTGACTGGTAGGCAGGGAACAGACTGCTGCTGTGTGCTTCCACACCTCTCCTCCAGTCCAGTTTCCAGGGACTCACATCCAGCCAAGCATCCCAAAACTTCAGAGAGGGCTATCTACCTCTTCCTCAATGGCACCCAAGTGCCCTTGCAAATCTGGTCCCTTCGTTTCCCACTCCACTTCCCAATAAAGAAAAATGCTTGGAAAGGAGTGGTTTGTTCATTCCCCGCAAGTTCTCAAACACGACTATCTTGAGACTGTTCTGAATTAAACTGGGGTTTTGTTTTTTCACTCTGACAAACCACATCTGTGGCACAGCCTTAGAGCTGAGACCTGCAGCACAAAAGCCCTGGGTCAAACTCCAGCTGCCCATCTGCACCCCTGCTAATGTCCCACTGTAGTGCTGGCCCTACTTTGGCAAGATCATAGAGAGGCATCGCCTTCCTTCTCCAACTGCTGGCTCCCTACTCCTCTTCCCCTGTTGTTTTCCCTCTCCCACTGTTTTCCCTCTTCCCACTCCTGTCCTGTACCGTGGTCTCCCTCCGGGGTATCTCTCCCCTCCTACTGTTTCACTCTCCCCACTCCTCTCTTGTTTTCCCTTTGCCCCTTGGTCTTGTTCTGCTGCGGCTTCCATCCTCCCCTCTGGCCTCCCTCATGCTTCCCTGCTCAGTCTCGCTCTTCCCCCTCCCCTGCCCTTGTGCGCTGTGATATATATTTTTGTAGGATTTCTCTTCTCCCTGTGGTGAAATATTCAATTCTTGTGGGATGTTAGTTTCAACATTTTTAAATAAAACTTTGCAAATTATTGAAAGCAGAGCTCTCGCTGCTGTGGAAGGTGTAACACTGGAAAAGTCAGGGTGGGATGAGAGGGACTTCACCTGGGGCAGACCCCAGTGGGATGGGGGCTCAGACACCTAGCATCCCACAGTCTCTTCTTTGAGGTAGAGGGGGAAATCTGGCCATGTATCTATCTTGCTTTGGTCTCTCTGCTGACCAAAGAGGCCCTTTGACCACCTTCATGCATTTTCATGGGAAGTGGCCCCTGATGGAGGAGGAGCCTTTCTTCACCCACTTCTCCACCCAAAGCTGCTGTCCTGCCTCTGGAGCTTCTGCCTTCCAGCTGCATGCTGGGGCTGCTTGTCACACACAGGTTCACGCTGGGGGCCAGGGTGTCCAGGAGAGGTGAGAGAAGCTGAGGGGAAGGGAGGGAGATGGAGTGCTGCAGGCACAGAAGCCTCCCTCGCTCTGTATCCCGCGGCTGCCTCCGCAATTTCTATTTACAGCCCTGCTACCTCCCCTCCTGGCCACAGAGCTGCTGCTGTTGCTGGTTTCCAGGGCTGCTCTGTAATTAAGCATCCTTGTCTCCTGCAACTCCTCCACTTCACAAGCCCGGCAGCAATCGGGCTGGGGGCAGGGGGCGCAGAAGAGGTGCTGGAGACTAACACCAGACTTGACGGCCACTCCGAAGGGCTGCTCCCC